CTGCAGTGAAATTAGAGAGGTTTGAAATACCCATCAAAGTGCGGTTAAGCCCTGAACCGTGGACTCCAGAGACTGGGTTAGTAACAGATGCTTTCAAGTTGAAAAGGAAAGAACTGAAAAACCATTACCTCAACGACATCGAAAGAATGTATGGAGGCAAATAGGCTGAATTGACTAGACAGTTGTGCAGAGGGTTCTTTATCATGCCTTGACTTTGGATGTCCTTGTATACTGTAGGTATCACATGTATTCAGAAAATACACCAAATTGATGAATGTTTCTTATCTCTAAAGAGAGCAACAGGGAAGATCTTAAACTCTAAATTCCTACTTAACAGCAGAAAATATTGATGTGTTTTGGAGTTTCATGTGATTGTTTCCAGTTTTAAGACAGACACAATTATATGAAGCAGTATGGCCGGGTAATTTCATTATTCTTTCTCTACCATGTTCAGACTATTTGCAGTTTCTCTAATTCATTGTGAAGCCTGGCATGTAGGGAGAAAATAGGTACTTCAACTTCAACCTTCTCCATTTAAAAATAAAAAAGACCCTAGTCAAGAACATGCTAGAGATCACTAATAATGGACTGCTTAAAAATGGATGGATTCTTCCGCACATCAGTTATCTTCAATATTTACAGTGCCTATAAGAGAATATAAAATACACTTACCTTAAATACAGGTGAACTGAAAATCTTTCTAAAGAAAAGTTATTTGAAAACATCACTCAAGAGCATTGAGTCAACTGTCTCAAGCTCTACTCACCAAACACTTTTGTACTTGCCACCACATTTTAACTCCAGCAGAGCTTTCCACTGGGACATAGCTTGAAAGAAAACAAAGACTTGCCTTGCTGCAGGAGGTACTGATGAAAATGAACAGCTGAATGCAGAATGCAAAATCTGCATTCTGGCTGGCAGACAACAGCAAAATTGATGGGCAGTTGTCTCTGAACAGATTTGAAACTCAAAGGAGAATTTGTTCTTTTTCTTTTGGAGGTGGCATGGGGTTTTTATTTTAAAGGCACTGATCCTCTAGGCCTTTGCATACATGTGAGTAATGGTACAAGTTATTTCCATGTGGTTTACAGGATCAGGGTCTGAGTATCTGTAGTTACCTTATGGAAAGGGATTTCTGTTCACCTTTTAAAGTACAGCACCCAAAACAAAGCCAACCAGAAACCAATAGCAGTTTCTCTGTGTCTTGTTTTACTTAGACAAAGTACGCTGTGGCTGGGAAAACCTTTAAGGAACTAAAAAAAAGGGACAAATCACTATATAGAAATCCTTATTAAAAAGTGTTCTTATATTAACTGGAAATTGTAGGTGTGCTGAAATGGGAAGTTACAATTTAATAACTGTTTATCATTTTGTGTGCAGCATCCAGTACTGTGTTTCCTTTGACTTGCAGTAACTGAGCTCCCACGTCCCCGCTAGCTCTTCACACTTGAACCACAAACGCTGTAAAAAAGTGGAGACTCTTGATACTGTTCTACTTTGCACTTTTCTTAATCCTGTGTGTTGCGTTCATTTTGTACAGGTGTGGCTCAGCTGCTATATATTACAAATTCATTTTAAGTATTTATAGATTTCTTCTATTCCTAACGTGTTGTGTATATGATGGCTAAAAAGGAAAATTATTTGTTATTGTCACTGTACAGAAAGTAAAAGGTTCTGTGTGATGCTTCTCTTTAGCATACTGGCACATCTGTGGGTTCATGAAGGCAGGAATTACTTTCCCTTCCAGTTGCAGCTTTCCAAGTGACTCAGTTCTGGAGCTATGTTAGCAGCCTCCCATGTTTCAAACCAGTTGCTGTTGCATAACCTTTAGGCAGCCTGTTAGCATCACAGAAGTTAGATGTGTAAGAAAGTTACTCGCACTTGAGTCTGTCAGCAAGTTGTAAGATTTTCTTTTTTAAACCATGAATGTATTTATATGAAATGTATTTTATCTTGATTCCTGCTATCTTCTGTGTCTCGGCTGACTGAGAGTTGCTATTTTCAATGTATATATACACACACCACGCTGACATTTCAAGAACAGAATACAGTTGAAATGGTTAACCAAGTTTGTGTCTGGAGTGTTTTGCATGTTGTTTCCAGTTAATGGTCAGCACCTCCCATTCTCTTTGCAATGGAGCATACCGTAACAGCAGGGCTTAGCAGAAGCAGCAGCTCAGAAGAACGTACCTGAGGGTAAAAAAGAGCCCTGACGTAGCATGTGCTGCAAAAGGATTTGTTCAATCAGCTTCTCACGTATTTTTGGAGAAGGGGGGAAAAGTGAGGGAGGGATTACACTAGGCTTGCTTCAGTTGTAGCATGGAAGTGATTTGCAAATACAGTGCTTGCATTTGGGTAAGAGCTTCTACTAATTCTCAAATCCTTTTGTGACAGAGCTTGTAGAAAAGTAAGGAATGTAGCAAATGTGATTAGCCTCAGCTACACCTAACATCACCTCAGAGGGCCAAAGGAGCTGTCTCCAGGGGACAGGAAGGAGAAACAAAGTAAGCTTACATCAAGGGTCATTTAGGAGTCAAAGCAAAGAACATTTTGAAAATAAACCCAGAGCTTTAAATTAATTCCTTATTAAATACTGAACTAGTTGCTCAGAATCACCACCACTTAAAGTCTCTACAGCATCAGAGTCAAAGGTTTAAATGAACACCTTTCAGGGATGGCTTTAGCACAGGACCTCAGGTAAGAGCTGGAGGAGAGATCTGCTTCCTGTACAAGTGCAGCAGGTGCCCTTAATTGGTTTAGCATAAACAGGGAAAGTGATGGCCATTCCCTTAAGAGCAGGTTAAGTGGTGTTTAGGCAGCCCAGGCAAGCCAACACACAGAGCCCCAGTTCCCATCAAAGGCTTCCTGAGCTGCATGCATGGCACAGGACACATTCTGAGACCACGGGTCATCAGTTCTGGCAGAACCAAACCAACACCTCCCCACCTCCTGGAATGATTGTTTCTGGTAACCACGCTGCTCTAATGATGGATTAGTCATGTTCTGCAACTACAGGCAATCAAAAAATAAATTCTGGTCACGCATTTATGTATTTAAGGAGCCTGCTTATTAGTTAAGTGCTATTTACATGAGAAAATGTGTTTAAATTTTAGCCCATGAAATGGAAACTCAAGAAACTAAAAGAGACAACAAAAATGATACAAACAACAACATTCCAGTGCTGCTTTTGCATAAAATGCCACAAAGGTGGTTTACAAAATGCAATCCATAAAGCTCTCAGCCACTATTAACATGGAATGCTAAAGGCTGGGCTCAGGTATTTGACACCACTGTGAAGATACCTGAATTAATGAACAGAACACTTTCCCAGTTAACTCAGAGCTGCTGCACAGTAGGTCATTGGTTGGTTTATCTGTTTGTATTTAACACGATGGGGTCACACTGGCCATGGCAAGCATGTTTGTTGTTGGACCATCATCGTCACTTCACTTGATTTGAACGAGTGCTGGCAGCAGAGGGCTGCTTCATCTCTGTACTGCTTTTTTGCTGGGAGCTGCAGCACATAGAACCTTGCTGCACCTGTACTGGGGAAGAGAGATGTCTGGAAGAAAAATTAGATCTGATCTATGGTGGACACTGACGAAAACAAGTGTTCTAATGAAGCCCGCAGCAAATTACCCCAGGTAATTTGTCAAATTTGCATTTACTTTGAGATGTTAGCCTTGACATGAGGCCAATGCCCATTAAAGTAAACAAAGTGAGCTCTGGGGCATGCTGATCCTCAGAGCCCTCACACTTCTAAAGAAAAGAAGCAAATACTTCAACAACAGAGCAGCACAAAACAAAAACTGTTGAATTTTCCATTTCTTCTCCAATTTTGAACTACTGCTACCAGTGAGCTGCTGAGCCTACATAGGAGCTAAGCCCAGCAACATCTGCAACGAGTCTCACACCACAATGACACCTCACAGCAGAGCCCCAGGAGGTGTTGCTGGGTTGTGTTTGTTTGAGATGTGGTATCTAACCTACCTCTTCCTGTTGGCCATGGATCAGTTCGTTACTGATGGCTCCCCCCCCCACAGAGTGGGCACGAAGAATAGGAATACTGTTCTCCTCAGCTGCCTGCTCTACTTTACTTTTTGTTCTTGGAGTCAGAACAAACCCAATCATTTGCTCCTGCAGTTCTAAATGGTTCTGCACAATGAAATTGAGCATCTTCTTTCTACTTGCAACAGAAATGACTGCCTGTGGCACACCTCCCTTTGGTCCTGATGAAGCACGATGCCTGCACATTCCTAACCAAGCATGGCTCTGAAGGGACGTGGTTTTGTAAAAGGGCTCTGCAGAGAAAATCAAAACGGGGCACCTACACACACAGCAGGAAGACACAGCTGACCATATATATGGAGATATATATATGGACAGGCTGTGCCCCTGTAACACGACTGCCACAGCCACCTGTGAGCACAGCAGACAGTGAGCTCAGACAGCAACAGGATGGGCCAGCTGGGAACAGGGACACATGAGGAATTCATATAGAATTCAAAATCCACAGCCATGGGCACAGAGCTCTGAGGAGAAAAAAGTGAAGGGCTTGCTTGCGCCACATCCTCAGTCCCTCTCTACCACACAGGTAGGGAGCAGCCCAACACCAGCCCACCGATATTCAACACTCAAGTCCTTCCGGTCCAGAGCAACAGCCTCTGCAGTTAATTACTGTTTGAATTACTCCAATTCTGCCGTATCTGAGCTGCTCTCCTTCCGGCTGAATCTTTCAAATGGATGACGTTTTCCTTTCTAGAGTAAGGATACGCATTTGACTGAGCTGTGAGGCTGTGGCACGGGCCCCCCCAAACACGCTCCCAGCACCACGCTCTGCTCTGCGTGGCAGCGCTGCAGGGAGGACCTACAGCAGGAGCGCACAGCAGGAGGCAGAGCCCCGCGGCTTTGGGCGGAGCCTCAGCCCTCCCGCACGCACCGTTTCTGACCGAGCTCCGGGCGGATCGGCGCGTCGCCGCCAGAGCTCGGCGCAGCCCGCAATGAACTGCAGCGAGGCGCGGCGGCTGCAGGCGCTGCTGGGCGCAGTGCTGCGGGAGCTGCGCAGCGGAGCCAACGCCAGCGCGGCGGCCGCCGAGCCCGGGGGCGACGCCTCGCTGTACATCCTGCTCATCATGATCTTCTACGGCTGCCTGGCCGGGGGGCTCATCCTGGCCTACACGCGCTCGCGGAAGCTGGAGTCCAAGCACGACCCCTACCACCTCTACATCGAGCGCGACTGGGGCCGCGGCGGCCCGGGCCAGGCGGCCGAGGAGGGCGGACCGGCCGAAGAGGAGCGGCCGCTGTGAGCCCGGGACGGCAGGTTGGCGGTCCTGCCGCCCTGCAACCGGCGGCTGGTCGGTACCGCTTTCCGCAATAAACGCCTGCGCTGCCGTGCGTCCGGATAGCATCACTTATCCCTACAGCTGCAGACATCCCTCAAAATCGGCGCGTGGGCCGTTCTCTCACCGCACCACCGTCACGCTAGCTGCCGCTTTCTGACAGCAAAGCTACAGTTCTAAAGCCCTTCCTCAACTTGGCAGCTGCAACGTTGCGGGGAATGGCCATACATCAGCTGCACGAGGTGACGAGGGGTTTTGTTTTTACAAAAACCCTGAAATTACAGGAGCTTCACATCATGAACCACTGCACCAGGACCACAGCAACGGGGCCTCAGTCACATCAGAGCTTCCGCGAGGAATTCCTTCAACGCAATCAGAATTAAGCTGACTACAACCAACGTTCTCCCATCACAAAGAGCGAATTACTACACATCCAAACCCTTTTCAGTCCTGTCCCAGTGAAGCGTCCATCAGCAGGACCGCAGCCTCCACGAGGCATTACAGACCAACAGCTCAGAAAGTACTGCAAACCTGCAGAGCTCACCTCAGCTGGGCAAGGATAGGGAAGGGGCTGTCACCATTTCCCAAGTACGAGACTTGCACACACTGACTTGGCACAGCCCATCCTATGTCTGCCCCCGGCCCTGCGCCACATGGCAGCAGCTCGTCACACTGAGCAGCCGGCAGGAATCGGCAATTCATCTTTGCAACTCATTCTCAGTTGATGTAAATCCATTACCTGGGAATTTTCAAAAGAAATGCACAGAGCTGCAATCAGGCATTCAGCTCAAGTACTTTCATAAGCCCTCTGTTACCAGAGAAAAGCACCCCTCATCCACCATCACACCCAATTCATTGCTTTTTGCCGGTACGTGAACAGCTGCTTTCGAGGAGGAAGCACAGGAGTCAAACTTCATCAGAAATCTGACAAACACGAGAGCCACTGCCATGGCACCGAGCTGACACGCTGCTCTCACAAAAACAAGGTCACACATCCCATTTGTTTTATGGTTCTGTTGCTTTTTAAAAATATATTTCAATTAAAACATTAAAAGTTAAAGTAAGTTTTGTTACTTATGTACACTGATATAACAGTATATATTTCACATATATATAACAGTATATATTTCACATATATATAACAGTATATATTTCACATGGGCTGCTCTGAAAGTAACGCCCCCTGTTTATGATACTGGTCCTCAACAGGGGCAGCAGCGGTGGGATGGCAGCAGAGGGGCAGATACCTTCCCAGCAGTATCTCATTACCTGCTGCTGCCGTGTGACAGATGGCAGCAGAGGGGCAGTCTGACATGGTGGTGTCTGACGTGAGGTGGGATGAAGCAAAGGGGTGGAATTGAATTCCTGCATGAATGTCAGCTGCCACTCATTACTGCTCTCTGCATGTTTCCAGAGACCACGCAGCGGTGTGAGCACAGTGAGGAGTGGGATTTTGATGAGTATGCAGGCTCTCGTTCATTGCTGGTGAAAACACAGCTGATGAAAAACAGTGCTTTGTAGCTGAGAATTTGCTCTATCGAGTAGTTATGTGCTCTTTGCATCTGTTGTTGCATCTGTGGAAATAACGAGGCGGCACTACTTTCAGAGACCTACATACACGTGGCCCAAAGCAATTCCTCTTCACTCAGTGTGGCCCAGGCAACCCGAGAGGTTGGACATCCATGTGTTAACACTTCAACACATTCAGCATTTAAATGTGCTCTCAGTATGTTTTATTTAGTATCAGTCACTATTTTCCACTGCTCCATTCTACAGATTACCACACAATAGCTGTGGTGGTCCCCCTGCATCAGCACCCAACACCACCAACTACGTATCTTCACAACACAACTCACCCCCCAAATAACACATGATACGCCACACTTAGATCCTGTCTAAAAAAAGGGCAGCCCTTGTGAAAACATTTCAAATAAGGCACAAAATCTCCTGCCAAGTAAGTAACAAAGCACCCCATTCTAATTATCTGCAGTTCCACTGGTACATTTCAACACCTGAAAGAATTACCTGGTCTCGGTCAACTGTAGCACTTTGCAACTTTCATTAGTCCATCTATTCTGCCTTATAGTTACGGTTCAACCAGATGTTTAAATAAGGTAACACGTTATCTGCTGGTTGGAAACCTTAAAGAACAGTGATGCTTCCTGTATTTTCTATGGCTTTGAACAACAAGTCATTTTTTGGGAGCTGATTCTGGCCCTGCGGAAGCCACCACACATCATCACTGCAGAGTGCAATGCTCTCTTAAAGCACTCCCCACTGAGCATATTTGAATTAAAATAATGCCTGGCCACACCACAGCTGGTGCTGCTGCTGCTGTCAATTTTACAGTCTCCAGGAACACCTTGGAAGCGCTTGGGGGAAGACAGCTTTATTTCTGTTCAGGATGCAAGGTGGGTAATCACCACTCAAACACCTCAAGCCTTCACAGCCGGCTCTCACTTCACAGCCCCAGATCCTTCCCTGCTGCACAGGTCGCCAGCCACTCTGTCCCAAACCAGCAGCACTGCATGGGGCTGTTGTGGCCAATGCACAGGACCCAGCACTGGGTCTCACTGAACCTCATACAATTGGCCTCAGCCAATCCAGATCCCACTGTAGTCTTTCCACTCTCAAGCAGTTCAACACTTCCTCCCAACCTGGTGTCATTCACAAACTTACTGGAGGTGCACTGAATCTCCTCATCCAGATCATCCATAAGGTTCTAAATTCAGTAAGTTTCTAAATTCACTTCTGCACACAAGCAAAAATAACTGGTGTTTTATCCCTAGCCATGATTTGTTTTTCCCCAGCATTCCTCACTCTTTATGCTACATCAGCTACCAGAGCTCTTCTCAGAATAATTACTAAGAAGTGATTATTTGCAGTCTCACTAAAATTCATACCTTCAAACACAGCAAAAACATTACAATATAGTTAGCATTACTTGCTTCTAGAACAACACCTGTTTCTGCACAGACTCTGACCCTGTGCTGCCATCCTCTTCATTACCAGCAACCAAAAGCCATCCACACTAAGTGATCATCAGTCATTCAACATCAACAACCAAATAAATAGAACGAAGCATGTGAATTACCACATGAAACACTCCTTATTCAAGTGCCTTGTTTCTTCTTAGCACAGAAAGAGCAGAGGCTCAACAATGTGTTACCAGATTGTAAATACTTGTTTTTCCAGAATCTTGGATTGTAAATATAAAATTGTTTGGCTTCATCCAAATACTTCATTCAAATGTTTGTTGGACAGCAGTCAAAACAACAGTAAATTTCTATAGGAGGATGTAAGGACAGTAAGGAGAGGCAACAGCAATTTTGGATCACCCAAGGGTAGCGTCCCAGCCCAGTAACAGAGGAGGAATCACTTACCCCTTCCTGAGAATCAGGGCTTGCCCAGCACTCCAAAAGCAGCATCTCCAAGCAGATGCTTCCCTTGTGGCTGCCAGCCCTTCAATGAGGTCAGAGAGGGGCAGATCCTGGGCCCACCCCTTCTGGTCACACTGGTGAATTGCTTCCACCTGTGCTCCCAGGGCTGGCTACGCCCCTGCACCAGGTGCTCAGTCACTGGTTCAGGCCAGTGATCTCCATACAGTGGGAAACATCAATCTGAGATTGATGTTCTGGCCAGCTCAACAGCATTTACTGCTTCACAGTGCTCTTGGCATTTGCTAGAGGATTACTTATTACTCCAAGTAACTTTTCTGACACATCGCCTGTTCTGCAGTGTCCCAGCACCAGCTGCAACAATCAGAACACATAACTCACAGCTAGAACACAAGCAGTAAAGATAAAGAAGCCACAAATTATTTCCTGAACTTTAATATCTTAAGAACAAGCTACGAAAATGTCTTAAGGAAAAAAAAGGGGCTTTCTCTTTTTAAAATGGAATCTTACAAGAAGTCTTTTAACAACTCTGAAAACTTACAAAATATATCCAAGTGCTGACAAAACAGCATTTCTTTTATAATGTGCTTTTTCCCAGTCATGGTAATGAAATGCAAGCATATCAAAAGTGTCATTTGCATCACAAGAACAAACCGCTTTTCTCCATCCCGAGGAACAGTACAAGCATGTTAGGTCAATTTAACTGCAGTGTGGTCGAATAACAAAGCAACATTAAGAACAATGACTTACAAAGACAATACAGGGAAAGCACACAACACAGAACGTCTATCAAGACTTCAGCTGCCACAGCTTAGTAAGTGGAAGTGCTTCACCTGGCTTTGTTTCACTGTCTGGTTGTATATTACCGACTTGGGATCAAGCAAAACTTAATAGTTTGCTTATCAAGCAAAACATATTTGTTCCTGGTTACAGTTCAGAGCATAAATATGTTCACTTCTCGGATGTCTGGCGTAAACTTCAGACATTACAGCACAGTCGACAAGAAGGAACATTAAACCAGCACTGACTGATTTGGTACGTAACGGAATAAAAAGCAGTTCTATGTTTTCTTCTGTTAACTTCACCGCAGGAGTGATAACAAGCTGCAGCATCCCTAACTTATCCAGCTACTTGGAAAGAGGCTTTCTGTCTGTAAATAGACAGCACACAGCTAGTACTTTCCCCTGGACTAAAGCAGCTCATCTCTAATAAGCTTCCCTCCCAATATCCCCATATGCACACCAAGTCCAATTCCAACTATACATCTTACTAAATAAGAGTATAAACCACGTCTGTGCATCTAGGCAGGCAGTAAGCCTCCTACATAACACGTCTGGCAGGCCTTTTTTTTTTTTAAATATTATTTGCAGAAGCCAGATTTAAAGGCAGTGTACATTTAAATAGCACGAAAATAATCGATAGGAACAAAACGATCAAAACATTGTCTCAGATATTCAAAATCTCCCACTCTGCATAGAAAAGAGCTTCAAAATCAGTATACAAATCAGAACTTGGATCCAAACATCCAGTAAGTATTTACTCCCAGAACAAGCTTATTAGGTGCAAGTA